GGGGTAGGCAGGGACGGGAGCGCTTCGCGGCCTGCAGGGATTTATCCGACGATTCTAGTTTTATCTCCGGAGCTGTTCCAGGAACGAGGCTGTAGGCCTGGCCTGCTGTAGTTATACTTAAGGCCGTTCATATTAATAATATTTCAGAAAAAAAAAAGTAAAATAATTATGCGTTACTTTCCTATTTGTTTGAATATCATCAACGTCGTCCTCATTCTTTTGATCTGCTACCCTGCTTTTGCCCCCTCCATTTTCTTTTTTAGGTAAAAATGAAAACCAAAAAAGGAGGGAGATTTAAATCTTCCTTTAAGTTGAAACAAAAAGGTATTGAAGTAATAGGAAAGTGGAAAACTGTGCACATCGACCCCAATCTATTTGCTGATGAGGAGTTTGCAGATATAGTATGCTTGGAGGAACTTACAGAGTACAAACTAGTAAGTTCTTCTGAAGCGGGGAAGGTAAAAGAGAAGAAGAGAAAGTCGGAGAGTGTTTCAGAAGAAGGCAACGAGGAGGATGAACAACCTGTCATCCCTCCCAAAAAGAAAAAGAAAAACAGAGATTTGAGAAGCAAAACAGATGAAAGCGATGATCCTAATGCAGCAGGAACTGATGTGCTGGTTGATAAAGAGGCAAAGTGTAACGAAATGATCGAAGCAGCAAGTTGTGAGGACTGCGGACATGTGGTTGAGAGCACTTCAAGCAGAAAAGATACTCCAAAGAAAAAGAAGGTAACTAAAAATAAGGTTTCTCAGGCTCAGGAAGCTCTTCCATCAGTACCTACTTCTAAAAAAGTTAAAAATTGGACAACAGAAGTTTTATCTGCCTCAGCTGATCACAAAGCTGATGTGTCTGCATGGAAAGACCTGTTTGTACCTGAACCAGTGTTGCAGGCCTTGAGCTACCTGGGATTCAGTGCTCCAACTCCTATTCAAGCCTTAGCGTTGCCGTCTGCCATCCGGGATAATATGGATGTTCTTGGTGCTGCAGAAACAGGTACAGATCTGTTAAACTGGTTGTATATGCTGGGAACTTCCCAGCTACCCTCTTTAAATGTAGCTCGTGGTTATGAGTTTTCATATGTAGTAGAAGAAGCATTTATATGTAGGAGAAGAGCTTGTATCTTCTGCACATCCAGCATATTAGTAATGATTCATTGTAAAGTATTAAAACTTTGTAACTTACAAACACAGGATGTTCCATCTTTACAAGGTAGAGCATGCAAAGCTTTGAAGTCTCAATGAGTTTTCATGTTTTCGACAGAAGTTTTTTTTTCTGTTGTTTCTCAAATTGTTTCCTATTTTAGAAACTGTAAGGTGATACACTGCGAAGCACAGAATGAATGAAACAAACAAGGTCATTTTTCCAACAGCCTAAGTTCTGTGGATCTCCCCGTGCCAAGGCAAAGCAGAGAACTAGGTTCCTCTGAAGATAATCATCTTGAGTACTAGCTTGGAGCAGAAAATAAATACTAGGCACAGTGTTAGGCGTGAATATGACCTAGGCCTTTATCATTGCAAAACAGACCCACCCTGTGCTCTGTCTCTGGGCTTGGGTACATTGTCACCAGCCCTTCTCACTGCTTGTGCTTGAAGTGAGTATTATATTGGTAACTTGATAGGTACTGTCTCTTGTCCATCTTGTGATCAGCTCGTGCCTTTGTCTTTGAGCATTGCTAGCTTTTGTGAAATTTGTTATAGCTCCTTTTTTACTTAATGCTGTGAAGTCTCATAGCATTACGTTCCCTCTAACTTTTTTTGCTGCTCATACCTTTGAAGTTTTGTCTGCTCTAGCAGTGCAACATTTTTCCCCAGAAAAAGCTAAAAATAGGAAGCACAATTGGAAGCTGCTTTGATTTAAAGGCTTCCTTTGTGTTCTTTTAATGTGTTCCAGTTGCCTTATCTCACTGCTTGTCCTGTAAAGCCATTTCCTGCTCTCGAGCATGAAGGTATAGTAACTAATAAGATAAGCAGTCATTTGCATTTTTATTTTAATTAGAAGCTAGGCTGGTGCTATTAACTTTAATAAGATTAGAAAGCCCCGTAGGGAGTGTTTTTGAAAATGGAACTGAAAATTTAAATGGTGCTTTTGTGCTGAAAATAAGGGCTATTTTGGCAGTTCTGGAAAGCAAATCCCGCTCTAGCTGCAGAATTGAAGGCACAATTGGTGGCAGGTTGTGTTGTTGCTGTCTGTGTAACCTTGAGGTAGCAGGACTGTATTTTGCTCGTTTATTTTCTTCTTTCATGAGAGAAAGCCAGGTTCTCTCCAGAGAACCCTATGGGTCATCAGTGTTCATGTAGAAACTTGAGAGAAGATGGGGACAATTGTCTGTTAGGACAGACAGCTGCAGCTGAGAGAGGCTGAAACTCTCCAGTTCTTTTTTCTACATTCTACAGCTTCCCTTAGCATTGGGCCTGAGGGAGGAATGTGACAGGTGAAAGAACTATTTGTCTTCCCTTTTTGATAGCAACATAGGGGACAATGGCAAGATTTTGATATGGCAGTAGAACCTTGTGGAGATCAGATGCAGGGAATGTCAAGGCTTGTGTTTGCAGTGGATCTAACCAGTTCTGTTCATTATCATGTAGAACTAGTTAAGTTTTTGATTAAGGAACCAAACTTTGTCTCTGTAAAATCTTACAATCTAAAACCATTTAAAAGAGCATGAATTAGCTTGAGCTGTAATATCTGGGGGTATCAAGATATACTTTTTCTCCTGGTTTTGCAGGCCTGGCTATAATATGTGATCTGTGTGTTGTGAAGATAATGTGCCCTGTGAGGTGATTATTTGTTTAATTTATGGGTGAATCTAGCGCCTGCAGAATAGTTCTGATTATCACAGCCATAATCTAGCTAGGTGCAGTACCGACATTTTCACCAGCCAAATTGCGTTGCATTTAATTCAAGATCAGCAGTGTTCTTCACCTAAAAACAGGTGTTCTGGTAATACAGAATCTTATTGTATAAATACTCTGCAAATCCAGATTATATTTTCTGCTTCAAGTGCAGAAGTCATAAGAGACCTCCCAGACATGCAGAAAGGTTGGGAAGTGGATACAAGGAGACTTTGCAGCAGTATTGGTCAGGATAATGATACTGGGCTTAGCTGTTTATTAACGGATATTAAGGTTCTCCCCTAAATAGGCGAAATTCCATGTTGCTGAATTTGACAAACCATTATGGATTTGTGATACAGACAAATGCTGCTCTAGGAATAGGATTTCCAGAGAACTGCTTTCCAGTAGTGGCCTATTACAGGAATGGTGAAATAGTGTCTTGTGCTCTGGATGCTACTTTTGTGATCAATGAACTGATATTTATGAGAACTTGAACTGGGATGGATGTGCTACCAGGCTTCTCCTAACATCTTTATTCGTTCAGAGGGGAATATGTGGCAGGGATGTGACTTGCAGTTTGGTACAGTGAACCCCTGAAATTAAAGTCAGGGGAGCATTTTTGTATTTGACAGCCCCTTCTCTTCAAAGTACATTATCTGTTTTAAATCAGATTTATGTGTTTTGATTATAAAAATGTGAGCTGGTGATAGATCAAGAAATTAGATAGTGGAGTATTTCAAAATACAGTTTCTTAGAAAGTCGTAAACACAGTATTGTGAATTGAAGATGGATACGAATCCTTCAAGTACATTCCAGTTTGTCCTTGGCCTCATTTGCTGTTTCTCTCTTTGGAGAACATTGATCAGAACTGTCAATTAGGGCATAGTGTTCTCCTTATGGGCATATAGTTCTTTAAAAATATCTTGGCTGCAACTGCAGCTTTTAAAAAACATTTTCAGAACAAATGAATCTGCCTGACCTGCTAGAGATTGGAAAAATATCTGTTCCCCAGGAAGTATGTTATTGGTGACCTCAAGGAGATGTATAAAGGGAACGGGAGAAAAGACACTATTGCTGCAAGTTTCTGGTCTTCTAAAGATCAAGAGCTTGCATTTGTTACAACTGTATGTTTTAAGAACAGTGTGTGATTGGCTGTTGCTTTTCTCATCTTTTACAAATAAATTACTTGTCTGTATTATTCTTGGTTTTTATTTTTTTTAGGAAGCGGCAAAACGCTTGCATTTGCAATTCCAATGATTCACTCTGTGCTGCAGTGGCAAAAATCAAATAGCTCAACAACCAGAAATGGCAGTGTTTCTAAAGAGTCCCATCAGCATCATGATGAAACAATATGGGGAAATGAGGATGAAGCAGAAAAACTAACCCATCAGCAGGTTGAAGATAGTGGAGATGAAGATGATGCATCTTTCACAACAGGCTGTGTGAGGGTGCTGGAAAATTTTGAATTTGTTTCTGGTGATGAGACACATACTGTTGGCTCCAATAAAAAGAGACCTCTTTTAGGACTGGTCCTTACTCCCACAAGAGAATTAGCTGTACAAGTAAAACACCACATTGATGCAGTTGCAAAGTTTACAGGTATGTAGACCCTGCGGTCCATGAGCCAGATTACGCTGTGTTTGGGTCTAGGTATTGGTGTTGAGCCAGAACGTGTGCCACAGTTTCTTCTACATCATAAAATTGGGGTGGCTTTTGAAGGGTTAGGGTGTAGAGTCACTGATATTTGAGAAATGCATTAAGATTCTTCAGTGAGATGCATGTGGAAGTAAGCAGTTAATGTGGGATATTTTGCTTTAAAATGTTTCTTCCTTCAAATAGCTGTTGATTCGTGCTTTAGCAACACAGAATCAATACTAGATACCCAGCCACAGCTAACTGTCCTGGTTTTGGATAATGTAGGTTATATATAAAAAAATAATTTTGTTTATATA